CCCCAAAACCCCAAAACCCCAAAACCCCAAAACCCCGCAGCTTTAAATGATGAATGAAACTTTTTTCGTCTAACATATGAGCTTTCTTAAGAAATAGGATACTTTCTTTTTATTCCATATCTTCATTTATATCATTCTTAGATGCTGAGACTCTGGGAAAGTATTCATCAATTCTTGTGTCCTTCAATCTAGGTCTCTTCACATCCCTGCCATCAAGAGTTCAACGTAGTTTTTTGAAATCAGTAGCGAAGTAAGTTTGGCGGAGTCTTTTGTTTCTCTTGATTCTCTTTTTAGTTCTTTTAGGCGGTCTAACATCATAGTCATAAGCCTTTTTCGGTCTTTTAGCAATATGTCTTCTAACACTCTTGGTGAAGTAGGGATAAGGGCGCACACAATCATCCTCTAATCCACAAGAATCATTTGAGTTCTGGGAATATCACTTCTTGACATCGTTAGAGTTCTTCGTATTTGACTGCTCAAGTATGCTGTTGCTCTGGTTGTTAATTTTATTGCTATAAGGCTGGCTCTTAGTCTCTATTTGCATGATAACTAATCTATCTTGGACATATTGGGAGATCCTATTCTCCTCTTTAGTCTGCTGTTTACTCCTTCTCTTAATCTGTCTTCTCTTTGGCTTAACCTGAGGTTCTTCATTTGGAGTATTTTTAAACGTGATAGTCTTTCTCTTCTTAGGTCTTTTAATGTTTGAGCTATTCTGAAGGTTAAGTTCTTCTCATAATTCATCAATCTTCTTATATTCTTTAGTATATTTCTTCATAAACTTTTTGTGAGTTGATGAATTTAGGTGAGCCTGATAATCGAATGCTTTAACCTCACAAATGGTACACATAGTGGGACAATTCAGAGGCTGCTGCTCCTCTATCTGGCTGTGTCATGATGGAACTTGCCCTAGGTTATGAACATTGGACTCATGTTTGCTTAACAGTTTAACGAAATTCTCAATAGCCATTTCATTCTCCTGAGCTGTCTGAAAAATTGAGGTACCTTCTGGCGCCTCTAAATTCATCTTAGAAACATCATATTTGTTGATTTTCGGGTTAAATTGGAAAGTATGGCTGTGCATGCATCTCTCATCTCTTCTCATGATAATCTTAGTTATCACAAAATGAGCAGCTTCTTTGCTTCTCTTCGCTGCAAAGCCTCTGTCGATGTGCCAATCAAGTGTACTGGACTCTAAGATGTTGAGTTTATACTCTAAGTCAGAAACAGTGATGAGGTTCCACCTCTTACAGTTCAAAAACTCGTATAGATTATTGAATTCCGGCTTAGAATTGATAGTTTTACTGGAAACTGATTTAAACCCTTTCATAATGGTTTTCGGATCATTTCCAAAGCTTGAAGAGGAAGAAAGTAGGCGGAGCGACCTATCATTAAGAAACTCTTTGCATTGAGTTATTGATTGTTGAGCGCGATTTTCTCATAAATTGTTTTCTGAAGGTCCCGCCTCATCTAAAAAGGCACCGCCTTGTAGCAGGGATTTATTTGAAAGCTTAAAAGTTTGATCTGAAACTACCAGGAAGCTTATCGACTTCGACACTGAGTAAGAGACTTCTCCATTAAGCTTTTGGATTCTTCCAATTAGGTCCTGCTTTTTTGGTTGGGATTTTGAGTGGGGGAGATAAATATAAAATTTGATTTTAGATAAGTTCATATGCTTTTGAATCAAATTCCTTCCTATATCTGCCCTTTTTTTAAGCTCTGAGGCATAGTGAGTGCATCGACTTATCTTCTTAAACAGGTTCTTATAAATAGAGTCAATTTTCTCCGGCTTTCCCAAATTGTTTCTACTCTTCTGGTGACTATCAAGAATACTCATTTTAAAATTTATCTAAATTTTTCAAATTCAAGTCTTCAAAGTTAACGCGGGGTTTTGGGGTTTTGGGGTTTTGGGGTTTTGGGGTTTTGGGG